TTTCAACTGTATTTTTATGTTTATTTTGAAACATCTTGTAGGATTTATGAGTCAATGAAATATAGCGAAATTGCACACTGGGAATGCAGACTTATCCGTCTTTGGCACCGACTCGAGGAAAGTCAGTTTGAGTGTCACATGGAGACGTGTGGTGGCGCTGAAATCAATACCTTGTGTGACCACTGTGGGCATCCAGAACTGCACGGCATCGCCTCGGCATCGAACGAAAAAGTCTCAGAATCTCGTGTTGCCCAATCGCAGCCCACTCTGCCTGTAGTGCCTGTGTGAGTTGCTGAAGTGTCTGGGGCTGAGGGTTACGGCGTCGCACCCGTCTGTCCAGGGCATCCCACAGATGATTGATCGGGTTTAAGTCCGGTGATCTTGAGGGCCAGGGGAGCACATGGATGTTGTGGTTCTTGAGGAAGTCTCTAGTGTGTCGTGCTGTGTGGGGCCTGGCATTGTCCTGTTGAAACAACTCCCTTTCGAGATCAATGATTGGAAGGAGGTGTGGGCGTAGGATTTCGTCACAGTACCGGTGGGCTGTCAGGTTGCCCTGGATCATCACCAAATCACTTCTCCTACAGCAGGTGATCGCTCCCCACATCATAACACTGTCCCGGCCGAATCTGTCCACCTGGGGAACGTAAGCGTCGGCGAAACGTTCACGTCGACGTCTGTACACCCGCATTCTTCCATCGCGTCGTTCCAATAGAAATCGTGTCTCATCACTGAACCGGATTCTACGCCAATTCGATAGGTTCCAGGCCTGAACGTTGGTGCACCATTGAACTCGATGTCGACCATGTTGTTGTCGAAGCACAGGGCCAAAATAAGGTCTTCTGGCACGTAAACCAGCCTCTCTCAACCTGTTCCTGACGGTCCGTGCAGAAAGCCTCCTCAATCCGGGTATTTGTTGAGCGGTACTGGTCACCGTAGCTGTTCGATGACGCAGGTGATGTACCCGGATGTAGCGAACCTGCGCCGCAGTGGTCGCTCGAGGTCGCCCACTACGAGTGGCATCTGCTACCGAATTCTGCCGGCGATATCTCTCCCAGAGCCGTGAAATGGTGCTTTGGTGAACATTCATGCGTCGGGCAACTGCACGTTGGCCAGCTTCAAGCAAACCAATGGCGATATGACAGTTGGCTTCACTTAGACGTGGCATTTTGCGTTCGTCAACAATATTCCAAATACAATGAACAATCGACAGACAGCGGTCAACCTTTCATACCCATCATTGAGACTATCTGATCCCCAACTTTCAAGTGCATTGCATGTGAATTGTGTATTCTGTGACACTACACGCCGAAATTGAAAATCATGCTGTTAAATACGGGTATTTTACGGATGGTGCGTTTTGTTGTGATGTTTCAAAACATAGACACCACAGGATTCATAAACAGAGCAAAACCTTTTGTAAAATGAATGACGTTTTAATTCATTGCTACATGAAACTGATATTTTTATGATGCGTTTCTTTTTTGGGAGAGTATCTTTAAAATGCCAGGCACAATTCATGTGCGTACTTGGAAATGAATCTTTTTTTCACTATTAACGAAATAATAAAATTAATGACTGTCCCCGATACATCATAAATTCTCAAATTGAAAATATGAAAACCTCAGTTTCTTGTTTGTGTCTGATGAGAAGTATATCCTGTATTCTGAAACACAGTGACATTTATAAGTGGTGTTGCTCGTGTCCGACAGTGAACAAATGTACTCAATACGTGGATAATTGCTATACCAACGTCTGACTCGCGTCCGTTTTGTCTCACGTATGTACACTTATTACATGTAGCATGCTAACGGTGCGTACTTCAACTGCCGACCAAGAGAAAGTACATGGAAGTATACACACATTGTCAATGTTGGCCCAAATGGAAACAAACGAGAAGTGATTATTCAGTGTTAATTTATTTGCTATCATAGTTACGTTTTCAAACTTAAGTTTAAAGGATGTTTAGCCTAGTAATGCCATTTAGAACGTGGGCAAATGTATCCTATGTTATATACTGAGAGAAATAAATAAAGGATCACAGGAAAATGCAAGCATTCCTTTATTATTTTCCAGTTTTCATCGCCACAGCGCTATTCAAAGCAGGAGATGAATAATGGAAAATATTAAAGGAACGCTTGAATTTTCCTGTGATCCTTTATTTGTTTGTCTCAGTATTTTGGGATTACACTTTCTTACTCAAAATGTACTTAGAATCTGTACTTTACATAGAAAGTGTTATCCCAAATATAACATATGTTAACCTTAGTAACGTTTGACAAGTTTATTTTATTTTATTTTATTTCGAGTGTTTATGTTCTTTTGCCTAACATTTTGTGCCTCGAACTCTGGAACTTTTAATCATCACTGTCTTTTAGTGTACATACGGTCAAGGTACAATCTGTCAGTCACACCTCTAAAACCTACCCTATTTGAGAGTATAAAATGATCTTAGTTTTTTACCAAGCATAATTTGTATGTCAACCTATGTATGGAGAGCAAGGCTAAGGACAATAATTAATATCTTTCTTGTTCTCAAACTTAAATTACACATAATACATATTTTTCAATTCGTTGAAATGAAAGAATCATGTTTTACGCCGCAATCAGCAGGTGTTTAGGTCATCGAGAAACCAATGCGTTCTCCAAGTGTACTTACAGTTTGGTTTAGTTAGCCCACTCGCTTCTTCACGATGCACAGGTATCCATGTAAAACCAAACTAAAACCCATATATTTGTAGCAATATTTAAAACTGTTTCTTTAATTTGTTCCAAAATCATTGCACTTCAAGGCACGTAATCGTGGTGTTTTGTAATCAGGTACCATTCTGTTAAATAATGCCATACTGGCAAATAATATATGGCTTTACACCTTTCCTGATGGTATCTAACATAAATGAGAGATGTGTGATATGAGATAGTAAGAGAAGTGTTTTCAATCACTTTGATATATAAGTGCAGCAACTATCTCTCCATGCTGTCTCGCCACACTCTTTCAGCGCGTCGATCACTCTTTTATTTCTTATCTCCGTAAGTAAAATGTCTGTGCCTTATTTGACGTTTACATAATACGTAAGAACATTTGGCAATCTGGATTGGGAAAATGCAGACTGTAAACGACTGCCGTGATATGGTAGTCCGATATATCAGGCCTCCTGTAATGTTTCGAATCTCAATAGCTTGGGGAGTATATACACTTGTGCTGTGTTGTTGGAATGGGACGTCTGTGGATATTAACGATTATTGGAACATAATTAGGTACCCAGTATTCAGCGAACTACCATTTTAGTCCAGTTTCTCGCGAAGGGGGAGTATGTTTGTCTTTTCCGCAGTATTAAATGACCTCGATTTGCATTCGTATTCACTCGGATCCATTCGGGTACATTCGGCATGTTCCGCTATTTACAGAAACAAAGCGATATTCGATAATATCACGTGTATAATCCGTTTACCGCAACATCCCAAAGAGAAAGCTTTTAAAGAGTTTGGTATCGTAACAGAAACCAAGAAAGAGCACTCTGAATTGATGAAAAACAGTCTCGTATGAAAGTACATCAATGCCGTGACATTGAGATTTTTGCTGGGTATTATGACGTGCTCTAGTTCTAACATAAATTCTTCCAGTACTGGACCCGTGAAGGTCCGGGTTAGAATATTGATCTTCATTATAGCTAAAATGGACAGAATTATCATTAAAACGCCCGCGCGTTTTCAGAAATGAGCGGGAGACTGTAACTTGATAATGCCCGCAAAATGCTTGACGACGGGCCATTATCAATCCCGTTGTAAGTGACATCATAAGTAGCTCAGCTGTTGATGTTCAATCACCTACGGCTCGTTTGAACTTGGGTTCATTATTGACGAAATTTCTGACTCACATTCGTCACATGTACCTGTGCCTTTATGCACTTTCTTGCCGGAGTCAACCATAACAATTGTACCATAAATTACAACATACAGCAATGAAAACAGCGACTCGAACTCTAACGTTGTTTGGCACTGAAAAAAATGGTGGCTGGTAGTATGGGCAAAGGTCAAGGTCTCAATAGTGACGTCACCTGTTTTGTTCTATGACGTTTCCATATTTTTAAAAGGTATGTCAGTGACCTTCATCGTTTGTTGTTAGCAATAAATGCTTCAAAACCGATGCCGTTGTTTTTATTCTTATTTTATTAGAAATTTTATCCTTTTTAGCTATAATAACGGTAACGCTATTTTTCAGGGCATTATCATTTGCAGAAGCCCTCGGTCTTTTCAACTGCCCTCCTTCGTCGGGCAGCTGAATATTGATGAGTGCGGCGTAAAACTAATGTCACTCACTCACTCCTCCCATACTCGTTGAGATGATCTACATGTTTCGTATTTAGACTTATGGTTAAAGCGTCCGCTCGTCATGCTGGACACGGGTTCGATTCGGCACATGTTTGCAATGTGTGAAGCCCATTTCTGGTGTCCCCAACGTGATATTACTAAAAGCGGCGGAAAACCATACTCACTCACACACGCACTCACTCATGATGTACGGGCCACGATTGGGGGACATATATATGCTATTAACACGTTTAAAATATTGTTTGTTGTCAATACAGTTTTGGTTATATTTGTTTGATTTGGAGTTGGCATTTGATATGGGATTCATGTTTTCACAGCTGTATCAGATACATTGGTATGGCAGCTGTTGCTGTGGATGGAGTCCAAGGATGATCGGACTTGTTAAAACCATCAATTTCAGAATCCTTTTGAAAGCCGTGTTTAAATGTTGAATACAATCTTAATGTTATGACATCTTTGGAGAAAGGACATGCTTGAATAAACATCGAAAGTAAATGTAAAAACCGAATTAAGGATGGAAATGCTGGAACATCGCATAAAAGGAAGAGTAGAACCCCTTGACGTGCAGTCAGATACTGTATCTATTACTTTGTAACATGTTAACATGAGTTTATGTTAACCGGATAGGACCTGGCTGTTTTACTAATTTGTTGGTGAACGATATGACATCATGTGAGTTGAACTGCCAAATTCCCTTGTTTTGACTTTGCCATTCCGAATATCGCGTGAAGAAAGAACCAGATCAGCAAAGTATGGAATCCGAGAAGGGACATTATGTCCTGTCCCCAAATATACAGAGATGTTATCTATGAGGAAGTCCGGCATTTCACATATTGTTTGACAAGACGTTTACTTTTATTGTTGACAAGGTTTCATGATCCTCTGGAGAAAGTGATGTCTTTGTATCACACAATTAATGCAGTGACGCCCACGTACAACGGTTATCTTATTCGAGGTCTTGTTCAGCGGAAACAACTACAAATTGTCCATTTTCGGCACGCTGGCTGGGACGTGAAGGGTTATGCACTCTTCCAAGACACCATCCGTACTGACTTAAGCCATGCTGAAGGACATGAAACACCTTTATCTTCTCTTTTAGACCATATTTTGTCATATCCCTCTACGTAATCCAAAACGTTGTGATCACATGTCCCAGCAAAATGTCGACGTTCAGCGTTACTTTGCACATACGCCCTATCTGATCGACCTCGAGATGTGTAAAACGTTTATAAGCTGTGTAAAACCCCTCCTTACGCCTTCTCGTTCTCGTAGCCACACTGTTACAGGTAGGAAAATGCACCCGCAGGCCTGAATGTTCGTACTAACTAACGGCCCGTCAACGTTTGGTGCCAAACGTAATCACTGGTCCAGATAATGACGCTTATTGGCAGAGTTTATTAGATCACGTGGTCTGCATGTTCTGACGTTGACCTTCGCCTTGGTCACGAAAAAGGTCGCACCATCCCTTCAATATTTACGCATCATATATGTTTAAATGGCCTATTTTACGAAGTGTGTTTCACGTAAAAAGATAACACCAGCTCCTGACAGAACTTGGAAACACACAAGATGCATGTTCTGTTGGTCTCGTCTTGCCATATAACTCCACTGGCACATGTAGGCCTAGATCTGCCAAGTATAAAGAAATGTGAAGTATCCAGGCGTTCGTGTCTCATTTATGTCTCCGGGTGTCGGTGCTACGGGGTGGCCCAGTCATCAATGGGTCGCAATTCACTGTGCAGGAGTTGCCGTCTAGTGGAGAGACTTTCAACAAAGTGGTAAACGTCTAGTGTAGAAACTTTCAACAAATCGGTAAACGTCTAGTGTAGAGACTTTCAACAAAGCGGTAAACATCTAGTTGTAGAGACTTTCAACAAATCGGTAAACGTCTAGTGTAGAGACTTTCAACAAAGTTGTAAACATCTATTGTAGAGACTTTCAACAAAGCGGTAAACATCTATTGTAGAGACTTTCAACAAAGTGGTAAACATCTATTGTAGAGACTTTCAACAAATCGGTAAACGTCTAGTGTAGAGACTTTCAACAAAGTGGTAAACGTCTAGTGCAGAGACTTCAAGAAAGCGGTTAACGTCTAGTGTAGAGACTTTCAACAAAGCGATAAACGTCTATTGTAGAGACTTTCAACAAAGCGGTAAACGTCTAGTGTAAAGACTTTCAACAAAGCGGTAAACGTCTAGTGTAAAGACTTTCAACAAAGCGGTAAACGTCTAGTGTAGGGACTTTCAACAAAGTGATAAAGACCTTGTGTAGAGACTTTCAACATAGAGGTAAACGTCTAGTGTAGAGACTTTCAACAAAGCGGTAAACGTCTAGTGTAGGGACTTTCAACAAAGCGGTAAACGTCTAGTGTAGAGACTTTCAACAAAGCGGTAAACGTCTAGTGTAGGGACTTTCAACAAAGCGGTAAACGTCTAGTGTAGAGACTTTCAACAAAGTGATAAAGACCTTGTGTAGAGACTTTCAACATAGAGGTAAACGTCTGGTGTAGAGACTTTCAACATAGAGGTAAACGTCTAGTGTAGAGACTTTCAACATAGCGGTAAACGTCTAGTGTAGAGACTTTCGACGAAGTGTAAACGTCTAGAGTGTTTTTTACTTCGGACTTTCCAACCACATCAAGCCGGCACAGCTGCTATATGGTTTTGCTTGGGGATGTTAGCCTGAGTCCACTGAAGACCAATGGGTGTCCAAACGATGGGATGACGAAGGGATCACAGTAAACAGAACGACCTAGGATCCTTGGATGCATAACTTGTTGTTCAGCGTTGTTGCCATTAGCTGATAGGATCCACTGCTGTTCCCCTTTTCACCCGCCATATTAAAATATTGATGCGTTATGAATAAAACAGAACCTCAATAACAGTATATATATATAATAGTGCTGGTAGTAGTATTAATAGCAGTAGTAGTAGTAGTAGTAGTAGTAGTAGTAGTAGTAGTAGTAGTAGCAGTAGCTACTAGTAGTAGTACCAGCAAGCATCTCTGCTATAGGTTAGCCTATCTAAATCTCCTCTAGGATCCCTTACAATGCGTATGATAAGATGTTTGAGCAAACCAAACTTAAGACAGTGTCAGCTGAGAAACTAAATAGTCTTGTAGACCATAATTAAACCTACAATCTTAGCGTTGAACCGGTGGCGTCGTGGCTCCTGTACCATTAAACTGACCAGAAAAACAACAACCCCTACACACTGTCACTCCTCTCTCTCTCTCTCTCTCTCTCTCTCCCCCCTCCCCCAACGTCGCTGTACATGACGTTAACGCTGAGTAGCAGCTGGGATAGATGTATCGTGTCTAGCCGCGACACGTGCCCATCCTCATCAGCATCAGCAACATTGAGGTACCGGATTCGCGATTTTTTACTAATGTTGTTCTTCAATAAAGATGTCAATTTTGCTTCAATTTATGACATATCTTTGCTCGGAAATCCGACAGTTTCCTAAATGTACGTTTCTTCACGGTCTTTGAAGAGGGAGACCTTCTGCTTCTCCTATTCCGATGGCGTGTTCTACACTGGTCAATACCACAGAACCTTCAAGCGGCGTGCTTATTCGAGTCTTGTATCGTGTTTACTCTGTATCAGGAGGCTTCCCATACCATAAAGCATTACCGTCGAACACCGTTGTATCACCATTGTCTCGAAGTATAAGCTTTGTTCCTGTGTATTCCTTCTTTAATCACCCTTTACTCACTGTTTTGCAGTAGTGGAACGTCGGATAACTCGAACTATTTAAGTAGGAGTCTTCAACTTCGACGGTTCGATGTTTGATGTTTCGATATTCATCTGCATTTGACAGTTTTGTTTTCAACGGTTCGGAATTGCTGTCTTCGAGAGTGCGCCGCACATTTCTCACACTGGGAACAATATCCATTCACCTCTCCGTCTGTAGCTATGGTCACTGGCGGCCAAAACAAAGACTTCACCACCATTGCAGTGAACGTGGACAAAGTACTGTGACTATGTGTCCCAGTCCACCCAGCTGTGAATGGGTACCTCGTTAGAATGAGAAAGCCACAACAACTCGGTGCGCCTTGTGGCTGCAAGAGTGGTATACTCCTCAGGGAGTTGAGATTGATAATACGATGTGCCGTTAAGATTGACAACCAATGATCGAGGGAAAAAAATACCAGCACCTTGAGCATGCACTAGTTGCGTGGGTATGTGCGCTATATAAATACCCTATAATTGATGCAGGCTATGTATAAAAAAAAATAGTGAATGGTTATTCCATGATGATGTAGTTAATAGAAACATAACTGTTTTTTAAACCTTACTGTTGAACTTAGTTACTTTTTGATAACATTTATAATTCAGTCAAAATCCAATTTTCAAGTGTACACTTTCATCCATTTGCCTGTCAGTCTATAGATCTAATCACTGGAACTATTTTCGTCAAATAAAAACATTCTCGTTATTATGATACTTCCTACAGCAAGCCATGTACATCTTCTAGGTCTAAACTTTCAAACTACGTTATTGGTCCACCTCCGCTCCCAAAGTGTAAACATTACGTCATAAATTCCGCCATCTGTTGGCCTCGTTTTGACATCTGCCCAGGCTAAACCCATCCGCCAATGATTTCCCTTATGTAGTGATGCATTGTGGGACCTAGACTTAACGTTGAATCACGTGAAAGACGTAACGCAGTGAGATGAAAGTCATCTAGTGCAGCATTTCCCCACACCCTCTTGGCTGTAATTTAAGCACCCGTGAAGATCCGGTTTGAATTGGTCTTCAGCAACCATGCTTGTCGTAAGAGGCGACTAACGGGATCAGGCGGTCAGGGTCGCTGACTTGGTTGACACATGTCATCGTTTCCTAGTTCGATGGTCGTGCTGTTGATCACTGGATTTTCTGGTCCAGAGTCGTCGCCATCAAGCTGGAATATTGCTGAGTGCAGCGTTCAGCATCAAACAAACAACCAAAAACTGAAATTTCCGGACAAGGCGGGTCCCTGATACTCTGGGTTCCTCATAGGAATAGTACCATTTAACCATTAAAACTATATTTCGGGACTATATGTAAGTCTAGCAAGGGATGTACCTATGATCATTGTCTGATGTAAATTCATAAACGATTTAAGAGTTGATACTGCCCTGTCTCCATCAATAAACTGTATTACATAATACAGATACTTATCGGAATGTAAGATTGAACTACTTCAATCGGTGGAGTAGCGTATTGGTTAAAGCGTTGGCTCGTCACGCCGAAGACCCGGGTTCGAATCCCCACATGGGTACAATGTGTGAAGCCCATTTCTGGTGTCCCCCGCCGTTATGTTGCTGAATATTGCTAAAAGCGGCGTAAAACCAAACTCAGTCAGTCAGGATAATATGTGAAGCCCATATTCTGGTGTCCCCCGCAGTCATGTTGCTGAATATTGCTAAAAGCGGCGTAAAACTAAACTCACTCACTCACTACGTCCCGGGATTCATGTACACTGGTACACAAGGCCTGGCTGGCATCTTGTTTGTCCGACTTTGACAAGAAACGAAGTTCTTAACTTTCGTCTAAAGAGGACAGGAAACCTTATTAAAGTTAATTGCCTCCAATAGTCTGGCATGCTAATTTCAAGTTATAAATACCAGTTTGACAGATGTAATGTTATGTACAAGGGGCTGTTCTCCACGTGTGGTCTACCAACGATGTAGTCACGCCTCCAGTGTTGGCTGTATACAGCCGTCCCCGACACCTGCATGCCTTCTTCTAGCACTTGTGTCTTTATAGCCCTAGCTGCCAGACTTGTATTGACTACAGCGCGAGACACGGTATGGAAAGTAGTCCCATAACTACGTTTTCTCTGTTGTTTTAGGCCGCATTCAGTTTCATTCCAGCTATATGACAACGACTTGCAAATACTCGAGTTTTGACCAGACAATCCCGTGATTGATATAGTGAGCAACGACCAACGCCATCGGGATACGGTGACATGTTCGTTGGTTGGTTTTTTAACGCTCCACTCCACAGCAATATTCGAGCTTCATGGTGGCAGTTTGTAAATATTCGAGTCTCGACCAGACAATCCAGTGATGAACAGCATGAGCATCGATCTACACAATTGGGATACGGTGACATGTGTCAACCAAGTCAGCGAGCCTGACCACCCGATCCCGTTACTCACGACAAGCATGGGTTGCTGAACACGCATTCTAACCCGGATCAAGTGGTTCGCTAATCTAATATAAGCAGTCTTGGTCACCCCTGATGTATCGTTAAATCATGGCCCATATATTTCAGGACGTGACAATAGATAATGATTGTTTAGACTGTAAGAAATACTGCCCCACACCAACCCGATCTTCACCGATAAAGGTGAAGGCTGCACTGGTTAACCGTCTACAAGTGTCTGTAGAACGTACGGCTCATATAGCGCACACTACATGAGCTGTCAGTTTAAGACCCACTTGATATGGTTAGCGATCCCAGATTCATCTTAGTGGGTTATAGTGAAGGGAAGATAAATTGTAAAGAATATATATTTGGAAATAAATGACGTCAAAATGATTCCTGCCATGAATTCAACAGGTGATAATTCAAAAGTTAGGTCAGGGTTTGACAATTGAAATCGGTCATCTTTGGTGAAACGGAAGACCATTAAAAGGCGATTACAAAACTGTACAGATGATGAAGTAACTTCCCAGACCTGCAGACTAATGTGAATCGTTGTTCCACCATTTTGTGGTTGTAGTGTGATATGCGAGTACAGTGGAAATATACCTATGTATGAAAAAATACCCTGCTTACAAGATGAAAGAGTCAAACTGATCTTGAGCAAAGGATCTGTATTATTTGAGTCAAGCTAATTAATTCTCGGAGACTTCCCCAGGATTGTGAAGTGGTTCGCTCTGGCTAAAGTCATTGATAGAACACAGTTTCGAGTAAGGAGACAATTAAAGTAAATGCGTAGCGGTCTTACGTTTATGAGCGTAAGTTTCGTGGTTACGTATACCACTCAAAGTGATTAAGGAACACCGCACGATGCCATAATTTATATACTTGTGGCCTTGGCTGGTTAACTGTAGTACAAGTGAGTATGGTTTTACGCCGCTTTTAGCAATATTCCAGCAATATCGCGGCGGGGGACACCAGAAATGAGCTTCACAGATTGTACCAATGTGGGGAATCGAACCCGGGTCTTCGGGGTGACGAGCGAACGCTTTTACTACTAGGCTACCCCACCGCTCCGGTTATCTACAAGCATACGAAAAACAATGTTCTAATGGTTTTGAGCAGCGTAAAATACATGTACTCTTTATATATGTACTACTGTACACTGCTGAACTTTGCCACTTTATGTACACATTTATTATTATTACGTATGTATATCATTTTGTATCATTAAACATTTAATGTTTCCTTAAACATTTCCTTAATGTATGTATGTATGTATGTATGTATGTATGTATGTATGTATGTATGTATGTATGTATGTATGTATGTATGTATGTATGTATGTATGTATAGGTAGGTACGTCATCTCTACGTACGTACGTATGTATATAGATGGACTATCATCCACTGGATATCTTTGTATCTGGAAAATTCCATTTTAATGTCTTAGGAAGCATTAATTCTTTTATGTCAAACCTTTTGGGCAAACATGCATTACATACAGACCACAGCATGGCCGACAGTAGATAATATTTAGTTGTAGTGCATATATAACACGTCGACTGTCACCACATGACTCCTGTAGACAGATGTATGGATGTATCCTGTTTTAATGATAAAATTACACATCTAGAAAATGTATAGAATACTCCTACTTCCTCTGTACCAATCTCGATCCCGCTGCAACAAGCGGACATATTTTCAAGCTTGTCTGAAGTTGTCAACTCCTATCAAGTTCTTCTAAAAACACAGTTCTTTGAATCAAATTAAACATTACTCTTGGATGTCACAGATTCAAGTTTTCGCAAAATGGCAATTAATATTGTCTGTTGTGTTCACCCAGCTATCTCCTCGGTAGTGAGAATGCATTGGCAACAATCTCAGAGTATTCGGTCTCAAACGTCAGTTTGAGAGATAGAAACTGATAAATGAAAGTTTTTATCCAATACTAAGAATTTAAACAATCTTATAAACTTGATAGTCATAAGAGGCGGTTCTGTATATGGGTCAACTCTATACCCTGTCTCTATCATCAATTGATATCGTTCAGTTTTCATGTAAATTCAAAATGGCGCGTTTTCGCGTCTGCTCTTTCCAATCGCCTTCTGCTTTCATAGAATTGCGTGCCTTTCGTTCTTATCACACGCAGACCTCTTTATTTGTAAACAAGTTGTCCAACTTCTGTATCAGCCGTAGTAAAGAGACGATCGGGTTTCTGAAACCGCCTTTCCACAACACTACATTACATAAACATATCCTGCTAAGGGGTAAATATTAGTTGTGTAGAAGACAGCATTGCGATGTGTCGGTTCAACATTCAAGTGATAATTGTCTCCTGTGCTTAACAAGTCACAGATTACAACCTGCACCCAATAGAGAGTGCGAGATGCTGCCAGACCGTGGGGGCCATATTCAGGTAGGGACGTGCTGGTTGGAGTTAGAGAGGGCCACAGATTTGACGTTTCTAGTCAGATTAGTTTCATTGTCAACATTGCTTGCATTAATAATTCATACATGTAGGTGTTTATATCGCATTTTAAAACTGACTCATTCTCTGGACAACAGAACCCACACTCCCCTGCGTGTATTTTCACAGTATACTACAGGATTTATTTGGCCGTGAACGACAAAGAAGAGGCGAAATTTATATGTTATATGGATGGGTCACTGAAGGTTAGGTTAGAAATGTCCCAGAAAAATGGAGTCCTTTGTACTGTCCCATATTTGACCATACTCTGCCATATCTTACCGTACCTTTCCATTCAGCACCCTATCCTACATGAACCTCCTGTACCCTGCCGTTCCAAAATACATCTTAACGTACTCTACCATATCCTGACGTACTTTACCGTACCAAACCGTATCCAACTTCACCCTTCCATACCATACCGTACTTGACTTACCATATAAACACCTACCCTACCCTATCCTGCTGTTCTCCACCATACGGCGCCGTAGTCTACCGTACCCTGCCGACCCGATATCTTATCGCCCCCTATCGTACCTTATTGAAATGTGCATTACCTCCCTCTAGATCACTCTGGATGAACAAACATATACGGTCGACTCACTGTTGCTTCGTCAACAGTTGGTTGGTTTGTTGTTTAACGCCGCACTCAGCAATATTCCAAGTATGTGGCGGTCCGTCAACTGCATCTAATGTATACAACTACTTCCACGCCAATTCCACGATCCTAAAATTGGAATGATCAAACGAAATATAACATTACTGACCCCTCAAAACCAAATACATGTATGTCAAGGTCGGCCCACCTGAACAATTATGTCAAGGTCGGCCCAACAAAACAAATATGTCAAGGTCAACCCACCTCAAAAAAAATATCAAGGTCAGCCCAACAGAATAAATATGTCATGGTCGGCTCCTTCATTTGAGACATACGTATGTTCAACTGCCTCTAACCTGATAGGCAACACGTGCGCTAATATTGATTATATTGATCTATTGATAAGCAAAGTGGAAGACAAGGTAAACGTGCAAACATGATAATTTATTACCGTCAGTATATGTCTCGTTAGACTGATGTATTTGACAGCAGAATAACGCCAGTGTTTGTGCCCTATCTTAACCCAATGTAGGAACCATGTCGCTGATTAGGTTTGATGGGTCGCTTATCGAGTCCCTCAAGTAGACAACGGCCACAGGTGTGGTAGGCACAGCTACGTGTGGCGGTTCCATGTGGGAAAGATGTCCCTGTTGTTACCCTGGTGCTTGAAGGGATACAAGAACCGGTATGCTGGAAGTCAGTATACTGTGTCTGAGTGGGGTGTTAGTGTAAGCATATTCTATTCACGAAGTGAAAAGGATCAGAGACAAGTTCTTACAACTCCTTAAACCCTTCTCCAAGAATAATTACAGTAACAAATTCCACCACAAGCAACTATTAGAAGCTGACAAGGTGGAAGACTGAAAGTGAAGGGGAAATAGTTTAATACAAAAGGTACAGAGTAAGAAACCTACCGTAATAATTAAAAAGCAATGTTAATCTTTTAATTTAATTTTCTCTTTATTAGTGAGACCCGCAATGCCATTTAAAGAACATACAACGCAACCACAGAATTACAATCTCAGACATCTTGAATGACTTTAAACACGATTTGTCGATGCTGTTTGTATAATGCAAACTCACTCCGGTGATGATGATGATGATGATGATGATGATGATGGGTGATGGGGTGATGGATGATGATGATGATGATGATGATGATGATGATGATGATGATTTAAGTGACTATTATGAACAGCGGTATTCGTGTCTCGGTGTGCTAGCGCTATAACACCGGCATTAGTACAAGCACAGACACTCTCACCCGTGCTTGCTCGCGGCTATGACACTGCAATAATCATGAATGCGACGTTATACCCCTCACCTCACCTGGAGACTTGGTATACCTATATACCTATATTATAACTATCTTAGAAACATCACTCATAAGACCGGACAAAGTATCGTTGTGACAATATATGAACATGTAAATTAAATATAATGTGGTTCAATAGTCTAATATGTATACATACAGAACGTTACAGGTTATATATTACTTGTCCATTATCGATGAAACACTTTGTTTAAATATCTTTTGTAAGCTATCAATAATTATCAATCAATTATCGATTGCATAAATCATGCATACAAATATACGCATACAATAGTATATTATGAGATAGACAGACAGACATATAGATAGAAAGATATATAGACAGAGAGATAGATATGTATACATATATGTATATGTATATATCTACACACATGTATATACGGACTATATATTTGAGTGAGTGAGTGAGTGAGTTTAGTTTTACGCCACACTCAGCAATATTCCAGCTATATGGCAGCGGTCTGTAAATAATCGAATCTGGACCAGACAATCCAGTGATCAACAGCATGAGCATCGATCTGCGCAATTGGGAACCGATGACATGTGTCAACCAAGTCAGCGAGCCTGACCACCCGATCCCGTTAGTCGTCTATACGAC